TACAATTAAATTCCCAAAAATTTTCATAATTTTTTAATGACTTTTCAGAAATTATTCTCAATTTTAGTCACTTGAAAATATCTTCAAATATTTAATTCAAAAGAAAAAAGTTATTGTAATGTAATCATAAATTGTTAGAAAGAATTTTTCTATCCTCATATATTTAGTTATTTTTAGATTTTTTTTTGTTTGTTAATTTTTGTGTTTTGAAATGAAATTAAAACTGTTTGTTTTTTTCATGCTGAAAACTAAAAAAAAAAAAAAAAAACTTTTTAATGCATAATCGAATAGGTGAGAAATTTTGATAGCATACCGGGAAAACTTACGCTGGTTGAGCAATCTTCCTGGGAGGTGCTTGAAGTTGTGCGCCAACGTTCGTCGCTATCGGTTGTTTCACCATTCCGCTGGCACGTTTTTGAATTTCTCGACCGAGAATATCACTATCTCTGTCAATGAATGTGGCAACATTGTTGAATATCGGTTCTACTTCAATTTCACTACCATTTACTCCACCATATTGCCAAATGATCATTTCCAGAAGCAGAAGAAAAGGAGCAAATAGCTGGAATTGTGTAATCTCTTAGTGACACTTGAGAAAATTAAGCTTGTTAAATTAGAATTTTGGCTATATTTATAGCAAATAATGATAAATTATTTAATGATAATAATCTATGTCTATATTTCCGTCTACAAATAATTTTTTGACAATTTTTTTTTATCAAATTAAGTTATGTGAGTGTAAGACAAAATGATTTTTAAAAAATTTTTAAATGTAAAAAATTTTGTATGCTCAATTTAAATGATCGAATAGTTTTGATTGAAAAAAAAAATGCATTAGTGATACATTTCATAATTTTAACAATTGATCATAATTTTCCATGAGTTGAAAGAAAAAAGAAAGCTCTAATATTAAATTATCGGTGAACTTTCTTCTAAATTATTTTTAATGAAGTGCAATAGGAAGAAGCATATCAGTTTTAACTTTTTCAATTGAAAATCATTGTTTTTAAAGGTTATTATTGTAGACATTTGAAATGCATTCGTGTAAGGCACACTTCTTCCAATATCCATATTTAATGTGTTTTTTGTGCATTTAAATTAAAACTTTTATATTGTAAATATATAATTTTACTTTATTTTGAATAAATGATCAATTTTAAATTGCCTTTTAATTTGTAAAATAATGCATTTTTATTTTCAAATACACTTGCAACTTAGTGTTACATAGTTTGACATTTCACAGTGTTGCATAGTATATTACATAGTTAATGGAATTAAAAGTGATTGAATCAATTTTAATATTTAAATCCAATTCAAAACAGGATTTTTTTTCGATGGTAAATAGTAGGATTTATCATTGTCCAGTTGAGATAATGAAATAAAAGGAAATGTTTGTATATTCCTTTGGCTATCATTCCATGAAGCACTTCCATGCAAATCGGATTAAATAGTCGTCACAAAGTTAGAGAACTGGTTGATTGATTAACATTTGAAAAAAAAAACAAGCAAATAAATGAACATATAAGTGAGAAAATGTTTTATTTGTCTGATTAAGAACAAGCCTAATAAATGAAAGGCATTGTTTGCAATAATAATTAAGCATCATTATTTTTGTTAAATATTTTTATACCTTTATTTTTTACACTTTCACACATTTTCAATGTATTCCTGTTTTTAATTTACCATTATTTTTTTTTTTTTTTAAATGAAAGCAAATATTATGGAAGATGACTGTGAATGATTGAAATGTACAAATAAAATTAGGAAAGAAAAATTTTAGCCATTATACAGCTTGTAATTTTTCAATGCAAAAATGGATAAATTGAATGTGATTTATCCGGTTTTAAACAAAAACCGGTCAATCCATATTATTATTGGTGTAATTGAATGGTTTTTTTTTTTTGTTTCTTCCTTTCTTTTGCTAAAGCGATGTGACATATTTGTAATAAAATTAATTTCCAATATGAGTTTTAAACATTCAATATGCTTCATAAAATTCTTATAATTTTTTGTTATTGCCAAGAAAATTTGTTAATATTTACGGCTAATTACAGCTAATCAGAAATAATAACTCATATATTATACAAAAATTTTGATATTTTAAAGGTTGCTACTGATCGTATAATTAATTTCATTCGTATTTTCCATAAATAAGGTAGCTATTCTTTTAATTATTTTATTATTCGTATCGTAAAGATAGCATTTTTCATTATATTCATAGAGTTAATATTTAATAAGAATTCAACATTCGTTAAATTAATTTTTTTTTCAAATTTGTCAAATAAAATTAGATGATTTTTATTTTCTTTTTTTTTGGAGGGGAATATTAATTTTATTATTAAAAAATATTCAAAGTAACCTACATATATTCTGTTCTGTAGAAACATGCTATAAAGTTGAGAATAGGCTCTGAAATGAAAAATAAAAATTTACAAAAAATAATTTTTGTTCGCATAATAGAAGCAAAGTTCATAGCGCGCTGTAACAAAAAAATATCGAAATAATTTCATTATGATAAAGTAAAGAAAAGTTAAAATATTTGTTAACCATTTTTCAACATATTTAGATTTTTGATCTTTCATATTGTTTATAAAAACAACCATTCCAAAGACTATAAGATTGCTGCCAATGTAGGAGAAATGAGAAAGAGAAAAGAGAGAGAGGAAGAGAGAGATGATGGAAAAAAAATATGAAATTTCACATCCTATCCAATGCTAAATTATTTTTAGCTTACAGTAAACTTATTTAAATGTAAGATTTGCATTATTTTCTGTTGCTTTTATATTTCATGATATTGCAATAATATTATTGTTAATTTGCACGTTAAAAAAAATGCTTCATTTTAAACAAGTAAATTGGTAAAATTTGATGGTCATAATTTTCAAATTGAAATGTTGCTAAAATAAAATTTATTTTAGTCTGCAATACATAAAAAATTAATTATTGGTTCATTTTCAAATCACTAAAGCATTG